AAGAGATATCTGCACTCCATGTTTACTGCAGCATTATTCACAATAGCTAATACATAGAAACAAATGTACACCAACAGATGAGGGGATAAAGAAAATCTGGTATATACCATGAGATAGATCTATCTGTCTGTCTAAGTAGATGTATAGGTAAATACAGGTACACAAACAGAGATAAAATAGAATACTATTTAGCCTTTCAAATGAAGGAAATCCTGCCATTTGTGACAACATCAAAGAACTTGGAGAACATCAATGTTAAGTGGAATAAGCCAAATGCAAAAAGACAAAAACTGCATGATTTATTTGTGTAATATAAAAATGTCAAGCTCATAGGAATAGAGAATAGAATGGTCGTTACCAGGAGTTACAATGAGGAAGTTAAATAAGATAAATAAGTTTGGAAGATCTAATGTACAACCATGCGACTATAGTTAACAATATTGTATCATTAAAAACTGCTAAGAAAGTAGATCTTAAGTATTCTTCCCCCACCACACACAAACAGTTACGTGAAGTTAAGAATATGTTAATTAGCTTGGTCGTGGTGAATATTTTATAGTATATACATATATCAAGTTGTATATGATGTTTTTTGTCTTAGGATGAGGTTACATCTTAATTAACCAACAGTGAGTCAAAAATGTTGTAAGCTGAGAATTCATTTAATACTTCAATAAACCCACAGTGAAGTTGAAAAATCCTAAATTGAACCATTGCAAGTTAGGGACCATCTGTACCTTCAATATATACAATTTTAAATTGTCAACTATACCTTAATAAAGTTGTGTTGTGGGGGAGAAGCTGACATTAAAGGAGGAAACAGTAAGAATAAGGATATGTGTACAAAGAATTTAATTTGTTTTTCCAATTTTGGTTGTCAACATTAGTACAAACAATAAAAATAACAAAGAGAATAGGAAATTCCTTCTTATCCTTCATGACTCAATGCGTCTGTTCCTAAATTGTAAAGGCTTTTGTGATGACCCTAGGCAGATATAGGAATTCTCTTTCCCATAACTTTCCTGACTTTTATACATACCCACTTCCTTGATTGCTCTTTATCATATTGGGCCATGACTATCTCTCCTAGTGTTCTGCAAGAGCCCCGAGTAAACATTGTGCCATTTTTCCTTGAATATTTAAAACTTAGCACCATATCTAGCATGAAGCAAAAACTCAATAAATGTTAATTGAAAAAATAAATAGAATGCAAGATTTACTCAATAATTGCTGCTGGTACTTACCTGATTTGTAGAGATAGCTTGATCTCTTGGTTGCTTTTCCATTACAGTTAGCATTTGTCTCCTTCTACATAATTCACAAAAGCAAAACAAATAGATCCACAAAAGAAATTTTAGTATTCAAACATCAACTATTATTTCTATATTTATTTTAGTACAGAAATTTAAGATTTTAAAAAATTATCATTAGTGTCAATTTATAAGAAATGTACGTTTTATTATGTTTACATTACATGTATTATTTATAGAATTCCAAGTTCACAGTTGTATCAAAAGTTGTACTTAAAACTACCTACACATTTGGTGATTTGCTAAGACTTTGGTATTCAGCATATATTTGTACTCCCATCTAACACACCTAAGATTTAATATGGATGGCAATGTCAGATACTGCACATATTACCCCAGAAACGTCAGTAATAAAATTTAGACACTGTTTTTAAAGGAGATTTTTTTTAAGTTAAGGGCATAGCCTTTATAATATGTTGGCTAATATGACGTCAAATGTCAAAGCTGTTAGAAAATTTTTTTTTGACTCTTAGCATATTTAATGTGGCAATTGATATAGTAGAACAGTGAACTAAGCCCAATGTACATTTGTCAAACGTTCATTCTAAAACTGCACTATAGAAAAGCAATTGTGGTAAATATGCTACATTTAGGAGTTATACATAATTTACTGTCTCAATTATTATACATTATAGGACACAGAAAATCATGCCACTTTCGACCCTAGTCATGAAGGTTCTTTTGGAAATGATTTAATAAATTTCTAGTTTATTGAAATCTATTTCAAACCACATTAACTCCCTAGGACAGTTGAGCTAGTTAATACTATATTAATAATGAAACCAATGATGCATATTTGATTCCTATAACAAGTTAGCAGCTGACAGAGAAAATCTATTTCATGTCCAAAAGTTATAGCTTGAAACTTCGCTGGTATCTTTTCAACAGCAGGTAACTAATCACTGGTCAAAAACTACTAAATCAGTACTAGTACAAGCCCAATCAAAAAAGCTCAACTTTATACTTCCTCTAAAAGTTGCAGATACATACCATGAACTAACATCTTGTATCTTACATTTAAACAGACTGTTCTAGGGCTATTAAAATGTTATTATGATATGACTAGCTTTAGAGAATAAAGTTGTTTTGTGTGATTACATAAATAATGACATTTTTGTATACCAGTATTATCATAAGATTGTATCCCTTTTATTGTTTGTATTTGGAGTAAAAGAACTCTTATATACCTCTTCTTTTGAAGGATCCAAAAATGCCTGTGAAAATCTGGATAAATTTCTTGTGGGTGATGCCTGAGCTGCAATAATTGAACCTTGGCCTGCAATGTTAGTATCTCCTAGAAAAAGAAGAGATAACTTTAAATATGAGAAGTTGATATTGCTGGGACAGGGTTAATATTAGTTTACAGCATTACTCCAACATTCTCCCTGCTCAGCTGCCACAGTGACTAGAGTTGCCACATCAGGGATTTATTTGAGTCAAGGAAATATCTCCAAAAATAACATGACTTTTTTGATGTTTACTGCCTACAAATTTCCAATGGTTCTCATTGCCTTCAAAAACAAGTCTGAAATCCTAATTTATTTAATGTTTTTATGCCAGCTTAATCTTTTGCTATAACCACAGCCCACTGCTAGAACTAAATGTTTGCATTTCATTAAGTAGGCAATGAAAAACTCTTTGAATAGTGAAATAAACAAAGCCGTGTTTTAGGAATATTGTTTACATAAACAAATGTATAGTGAGTGAAATAGAGGAAGATTAAATTGGAGGAAGGGTACTGCAATAGAGAAGAATGGAGAAAATCAAGCGTAGAAACAATGAGAATGAAAAAGAGTGAAGGTCAAGATAAATCAAGAAAGTAGAGACAGAAAGTGTGAACTTTTAGATGCAAAGCTTAGGAGGAAGAGTCCAAGACAACTCAGGTTTTGTGCCTGGGTGAAAATAAAAGGGTCAGGAAGATGATGATTAATTTAGTTTTGTGTTAAATTTGAGGTGATCTTTAGCTACTGGAAGAAGATCTCTCATATTTTCTGTATGCATATATCAGACATGCAGGTGAGCATATTTAGTGACTTGCATAAACACAACAAGGCACACAAATATTGGATAATGCATATTTCATTTAAAGAGAAATGGGAAACAAAATGTACCATTTGTTGAAATATGGACACAATCTTGGGTATAATTCTCTGTATTCCAATCTGCTGGAGCCAATATGTCAGCATCTTTATCTATAACTACAAACAGCCATAGCAAGACCCTATCTTTTCCACAATTTGCAAATTTTGAAAGGACACTCATCCAGCAATCACTCAAATATATGGGCTAATTATAATATCTATATTCATAGAAAATTATATCATCCTTTTTTTAAAAAAGCATATTTTTATAATCATATAAAACAACTAAGATATATAATTATATACTTAATAACAGAAAAATTATGAATATTGTCCATTTTCTTACCTCTATCATCGATAATACTTGAGTTTTTAGATATCATCCCATCTCTCTACATGGTGCCGCATTAAAGAAAAAAATACATTAGTAACTGTGCTTCCAAAAGAGGTTCTGCTTTCTATCAATTAACCAATGAATACAGATGTTTTCCTTCTTTTATCCTGTAACTCATAAAAACTGTTTAGGTACAATATATATTATTAACTTCCTTTCCATGTAATCTCAAATTTAACTAGTTAAAAACTGAGTTCAATATGTATCAGTGTATAAACTTACTTCTCCAGTCTTCCCTATTTTGCCTAAAGGCATGGTAATACATACAGGCTATGGTTAGTTCTAAAAAGTTTAGACTCATTCGGTTTGTCTCGAAGAAATCCAATCTAATCCATTCATACCCAGTCCAAACCAGTGTAATCCTTATTGAAAACACTGTCTAGAACCAAAGTAAAATTCATCATTCCAGGAACATTTTATTGGAATAACATTTTTCTGTGTCTGTCGCCTCACTAGACAATGAGTTTTTTAGAGGAGCAATTATGTATTATTATTCTTTTTATCTTATATTACCCAATTTCCTTTTTTCCCCCATTATTCTAGCTTAGTACAACACCTGGTCAATAGTATATGCTCAATAAACACAAGCTATCCTTATTATTATTACTGCCAAATGTTTGTTTGGCTTATTTTCTGCTAAAATTCATAGAGCGCCCGGCACAAAGCTAACTCAATACTTTCTCTGCCAGGAAAATGGATCAGGTTTCATGAATAAAAATTTCTCTAACCAATCAATACTATGCTGCTGAAGGAGAGAGCACATGGAAATAAAAGTTAAGTAGATAAATTAATATATACAACACCAAACTTTAAAGCATAATTTTGTACCTTTTGATTTATAACATTATCCTGTACATTTGCCTGAACAACAGAAGTTGAGGTTTTTTTCATAAAATTCTCTGAACTATTTTGATTCTGATGAGCAGCAGTTGCTGTATTTCCTAAAAGTAAATAAAACGGAGAGAAACTCTAGTAGTTTTTTTTAACAGCTTTAGGAATCTACAATAAAAGTACAATAAATTGTACTTATTTAATTATTTAGTTGATTTTGAAATGTGAATCAAACTGTGAAATGATCACTGTATACAAGATAACATTTCTATTAACCCCTGAAGTTTTCTCATGCAACTTTGTAATCTATCTATCTATCTGTTCTCATAATCCAACAACAATGATCTGTACCTCTAACTCACGATTAGTTTGTGCTTTCTAGAATTTCATAGTTCCCTGGCTTCTTTCACTCATCACAACATTGTCACATATATCAAAGGTATATTTTTTATTTTTTATTTCTGAGAAGAATTCTATTGTATGGCTATTTCATAATTTTGTATACACTTATCTATTTATGGACATTTTGATTGTTTCCAGTTTTTATAAATAAATAAAATATTTATTTTGTTTATATTATTTTATTAATTTTATTATAAATAAATATAATTTTTATTTTACTCCAAATAAAATTTATAAATAAAAATTTCTATAAATTTTTATGTACAGGTTCTATGTGGACACATTTTTTTTTTCATTTTTATTGGGTAAATACCTAGTAGCTGAATGAATGGGTTACATGGTAGGTTTAACTTAAAAATTAAAATGCCAAACCAGTTTATCAATGTGGTTGTGCCATTTTACATAACAATCAGCAGTGCATCAGGGTTGCAGTTCTTCCACATCCTTGCCAACACTTAGTAAGCAGAAGAAAAAGTAAAAATTTTAAAAAAGTAAAAAGAGAGAGAAAGAATGAAATAAAAAACTGGCTCTTTAAGATGTTCAGTAAGTAATAAGCCAAAAACAAATAAGGTCACAAATCAGTAAAATAGAATCTACAGATAATTACTAAATGAAATAATAAAGAAATACATGAAAAGTGTTTGCCAATAAATTTAAAAATATATACAAGAAACAAATTCCCTGAAAAATCCAAATGACCACATTTTATCACAAAGAAATAGATAATATGTAGAGCCCTGTAGCAAAGAAATTAAGTAGGAAGTTTAAATTTTTCCACAAAAAAGATACAGACTCAAAAGACTTCGCCTCTGAATTGTGCTAAATATGTAAGCAAGAAATTATGCTAATTCTACACAACTCTTCCAAAAATTAAAGAAGAGTGAACATTTCCTATCTCAAACTTTTACATCAGAATCACTTTGGTACAAAATATCATTACAGATATTATAATAAATTAAAAATTTTTTCAATTCCCCCATGAACAAATATGCAAGAATAATAAACAAAACAAATTATAAATATCAAGTATAATATGTAATATACTGACAATTACATAAATAATATAGTAATCATAATATAATTAAAAATAATATGATAAATATAATATAGTATCCTAATGCATATGTATCACATTTCCTTATGTTTTGGAACAAGATTAAAAGGTACACAATCACCATTGCTGTTCAACATTGTACTGAAGGTCCTAGACAGAGAGAAATAAATGAAAAGTGAATCCCAACTAAATAGCAGCAAGCTATTTTGTAGAAATTGACAAGTTTTTAAAATTTGTATAGAAAGCAAAGGTTCTAGAATAATGAAGTCAACCTGGCATAACAACAAATGTTGGATAACTCAAACCACTGAATTTTAAAACTTATTTTAAAGCCACAATAATAAAGAAAATTAGGTATTTGCATAAATACAGATAAATGTATTAATCTGTAATCACTTTATATTTTCAAAGTTGCCAAAGCACCTAGATTTATACAAGATAAGTTAGAATCCTCCTGTTTTCCCAGGTAGCAAGAAGTGCTATCAAACACCACTAGGATCCATGCCAGAAATACCACTAGAGCTATAATGAAGGAGCTTCCATTGGCCAGAGGTGTTACAACATGAAGACAATGAGAAGACCTTAACAATGAGCCACTTTTACTTAATAAATAGTAAATATATTTTCTCTTCCTTATCACTTTCTCAATTTAATAATATTTTTTCTCTAGCTTACTTTATTGTAAGATTACAGTATATAATATATATATAACATATATAACGTGTTATTCCACAGTTTATCTTATCAGTAAGGTCAAAGGTGAGCTGTTAGTAGGTTTCTGGGCAGCCAAAACTTAAATGTAAATTTTTTGTGCAGGTCAGTGCTCCAACTCTCAGCCCTTAATGTTCAAATGACAACTGTGCTTCTGGTCGTTCTATACATAATCACCAAAACATGGAAACACCACCAAATTTCAAATTTCTTTCAGTTCAAGAATGAATAAACAAAATCTGATGGATCCATGCAATGGAAAGGAACAACTATTGACACATGCAATAACTTGGATGAATTTCAGCGGTATTATGCTGAGTAAAATAAGCCGTTTTCATGAAGTCAAATAATGTATGATTCCATTTACATAACATTCTCCAACAGAAAAATAACTATATCCATGAGAACATACCACTATTTGATAATAATCCCAGAGGTAACATAACTAATAATCCCACAGGTAATTTGGGATCATTAGTTGGGAGAAGGAGGGTGTGACTGCAAATAAACAGGATGAGGGAGATTTTTGGAATATTGGACTGTTCTACATGTGATTGTGATTGAGGTTACACAAATCTATACATGTGATTGTACATGTAATTGTACAAAACATTCCATTTTGCTTTAGGATGATTTAAAAAAAACAAAATATATGCCTTGAGATATTTTCTGAGAATGAAAAATTATAGAGACAAGATAAGGAGCTGGAGCAGGAAATTGACTTTGACTTCTGCCTGGAGAATCACCAGCTGCAAAACTGTGTGGAGCAAATTTCTCATAAGAGTATAAAGGATGTGACACTGTTCTGAGTTCATACTCATGACGCCATGATGAAATGGAAACCAGAAAGACCTGATTATGGTGCATGGGAAAGAGGGGCACCTCTAAAAACATTTGACTTGTAATGTCACTATTGCATATTTCTGAAATTCACAAGAAGACCACAATGACACGTATACCCTTCACTGAGACTGGAGAGTGACTATACATAACTGCTCACACCCAAGGCTGATATGAATCACATTACTTTACATTTCATCATTCAATAGGATATTTCTCCCAACCATGCTTAATTAAATTTATGGGTCTATTTCCCAGACAATTGTCACAATAAACTGGTATCACAGTGGGGCTAAAAACAATATTTTCCATTGACCATCCATTCCTGAAATGTCACTGAGATTCTTTGACAACAGGAAGATCAGACTGATGCATTAAACATCAGATTCTTACAGGATCAGTTTGCTTGAGATAACTGCCTTAGAAATTGATAATTTACTTTTATTGTCTACATTTAGTGTAAGATGTAGAGCTGGTGTTGCCATAAATTTGCCAATTATAAATAACCTTTTGGTATGTTGTAAAAACTGAACTTTAAAAATGGGACCTATGAATTTTGGAGTTACATTAACTGAATCTCAGTGATTCTCAGGCAGGAAGACAGCCGTGGCTAAGGCAACCCTATCTTTCCCAACATTTCTGATTCTTGATGAGACTAAGCAAATTGCATACTAATAGCATTTCCTTTATTTTTTTTAACGAATAAGGATAAGAAATTTAACATTTCCTTTATTTTTTAACCAATAAGGCCAAGAAATTTAACTTTAATTTTTTCCTTCAAATTTAATAATGGGAAATAAGTTAAACTGTTCAACTTTTGAACAGTCATGATTTGATAATTTTTTTGAAGATTTTTCTATTGTAACTTGGGCTTATGGTCTCTTAGTGAGTTCTAATGAACAACATGAAGAGACACAGCATAAGTTGAAATAATAAAATGATGTTTCAGTAAGGGCCACAGTGAATCTGGAGTTAATGTACTTAATTTCTAACACATTTCAGAGTTTTCTGAAATTATTTTAAGCATAATTTTTTACAAGTTGTTAGACATGCTATATTACATATTTAATCATAATAGAACTTTCATTTCATTTTCTAAAATAGTAATATAATGTCAGGTTCAAAACAATAAGTCAATTATCTATTTATCAAATTCTAAAAGCAATTAAGGCCATATAGCTGTTGATAAGCATCACTCAAAATCAGTCATTTGACAAAAGAAAACAGAAGATTTATCTATATTTAAGTGAAAGAAGCTGTTACAAACTATCTTTCCCCAAATTATTATTTAGTATCTCATGCTTCTTGTCACAATATTCAATTACCAGATATTTCTTCATAGGTATTCTGGTCTCCAGCAGGATAAACTAAAATGATATCTTCAGAAGTCTTCCTTTTATTCTTTGGAGAAGCTTAAAGAAATATAATAAAACATTTATTTTTAATAATGATGACAGAATTACCCAAGGTAGACTACTTATCCTTTTATGCCCAAGAAGAGCTGAACTATATGCTAATCTGTATGTGGGATTGTGAGAGAAATTGGAGAAGATAGAGAGATGTGAAATGGGAGGAAAGATGATTCTTGAAATATTATCCCTTCATATTAAAAGACCCCCTTGGAGGGATAGAATTTTTTTTTTGGCAGAAAGGGAAATCTGTACCTGGGCTCAACTGAAACATGTCATTTTCCATCTGGGTGCATACCAACATCTGACTGGGCTGAAGAGTCAGCAGTCCACAGTGACTAAAGTAATTCTTGGATATGTGTTGATGCCTGACAGAGCAAATACACATGTATATTCCCTTCTTTGTGATAAAGATAATTACAATTTTGCTTTTCTAACTATTAAAGTGGCAGAAGGTCCTTACTGCATGTGTGTTCAGGGGGCTGTTATGATCCCCTGTTAAATGTAAGAGTGATCCGTTTCCACATTCACTGATCACTGAGCAGCTTCTTCTGGTATTTTCTTTCTTTTACTTTCTTGATCCCACTAAAAGTTGTCTATTTGTTGGAAGGTAACAACATTACTATAGTAGTATAATTTAATTTAATTTATACCATGGATATTCTTTCTATTCTGTCACTTTGATAATATAAACTAAGCTCATTTATATACTACTTCTTCTTCAACAACAGTGTATTTAAATAACAAATGTTTAAGCTATTTTAAATTCTTCCTACTATATGAGAAAGTTAATGAAGATGTAGTAAATGTATGGTTACTAAAGTGGTTTCATATCTGAGGCATGATATTGCTGTAATTGCCTTAATGAAGTAAATAGATTTAGTTAATCCATTTAGCAAACATGTACTTAGTGTATATGCTTTTCATGGTGTTCTGTTAAATACAAAGGTGGCAGTTTACTATTATAAATGATTAAGATGGTGGGAAGTATGTAATATGTGAATTAAAAGTGATAAATACTACTTCAGAGATTCATAGAAGAGGGGCCTTCCAGTTAGGGTTATAAAAAATGACTTTTTGGCATGTAATTTACAGTAGGGCTTAAAGAACTGTAGGATTTTGATAAGTGGATATAGTAATCAGGTCATTCTAAATTGAGAAAATTGGATACAGAGAGGAAGAGAAGGAGGAAAGATAATATGTGTTTTAGGAATGACCAGTAGTCTAATTTGACTAAACAACAAAATAAATTAAGTTCTTACTACATGCTAGAATTTTTATACTCTTTATAGGAATCATTAAGGAGTATTATCTTTGTTTTCAGATAATGAAACTGGCTTAATGAGTTTAAGTAATTTGCCCAAGCCATTACATCAATTGAAAATGATAAAACAAGATTGGACTTCTATAGTCAAGCACCAGAGCCTTTTCATATCACTACTATAGTTGCCATCTTCAAGGATGTAGTGTAAAATAAAGTTAAAAGTTAGGTAAGTACTGAACTTTAGATGCTGATAAATGCTTGCTGAAACAGTCAGAGCTTCATTTAATAGGTCATAATTTTAACGGTGGAGGAAGAAACTATAGAACAGAGTTTTAAGCATAACAAGCAACAGTACAAAATGGATCTGAGGCAGGTAAAAAAAAAAGTCAACAGAGGCTAGCTGGTAATCTACTGCAGTGACACAGGAAAGCTCTGACCTCGAAATGGGATTCATGGGATACTATGATGAAGCTGCATGGACAATAATTAGTTTCTTTCCCGATACTACACAATCAAAGATAGTTAAATCAAGTCTACAGTTCTGCATTCTGGCTGTGAAATTGTAGCTAATATCAGAAGATAAAAATCCATTGTAATTTCATAATGTTATAAATAAAGGAAGCTGGTAGAGACTGGGCATAGCAAAGCCATTTCTCCTTATAAACTTACTTCATTTTTTCTTTCTTCATTTATTCGTTCCTTCTTTTTTTCCCTAATTCTCTACCTTCACCCTTTCTTACTGGTTGTCAGTATAATAGAACACCATGTTGCTATATAAGAGCAGTTATCTTATATACAAGTTTGTATCATTTCAGTAGTTATTTTAAATATAGGGAGGTTGGTTAGAACTACAGTACAGGCAAGCCTGTCTCCTGAGCCAATTGGTAAGATTGTTATAATTTGTTATAATTGTTACATTTATGCCTACTTTTCAACTTGAACTGTAATATAGAAATGCCTAGAACAGTGTCTGGCACAAAGGGAGTAACAAGTGTAAATACACAGAGTGCTATAAAAGGATATTTAGGTAGATAAGCATTTCCTACTTAGCTACATCATCTTTTAATGTTCTCACATTCACCATGTTTTCCATCTTGACCTTTGTACTTCAATGTATTTTTCCCCATATCTTCTCCTTTACAGCCAGTATCTTGCATTTTTTGTAAATGATAAGCCATTTTTTTCTCTAAAAGGTCTTGTTTCTACAATATTAGAGAAGATATATTGGTTAATATTAACTTGTCATTAGAAATGTAAAACAATTTATTTAAAATGTGACAATATATTAAAAATGGATTATTAGTCCTGTCTTGACTTGTAATGTTACAAAAATAAGAGAATAATAAAGGTTAAATTTCCATTGTGATCAAACACAAAGAATACATTTAATACACATGCAATTTACCGCTCTACACATCATCAGAGGACTGATCCAGTTTCTGATCAGGCAGAGTATCATATCCATGGCTGCCCTGGTGAGTTAAAGTAATTTCTCAATCATCTTCAATTGGAAGATTCCTGCGGGCTTACCCAAATATCACTCAGGTCTACCAGACGTAAACATAATATAGTACATAAAATATGATTTCCCTTTCTGAATATCTGGGCTACTGTTGAATGTACTAGAAAGACAATAAATGCGTATAGAAAAAAAACTCAGAGATTCTCAGAGGGTTCTTGCAATATTTAGCAAGAAATGGATTAGCTCATGTAAAACAACTACCCAAGACTACAGTAAAGACCTTCCTAAAGGACTGGGGAAAACAGTCACTGGAACCTACCTAGGTGTAGAAAACATGCCTATTCCCACTAGAAATATTTCACTGTAAAGCTACACTGGAAAAACTTCATGAGTCATAAGGCTTTGAGTAGAGAAGGAAGATGGGTCTTAACTCAGCAGCAGGGAATAATAAGCCCCAGATTACACATGGCTCTGGCCCCACCAGCAAATCATAAAAGGCAAGACCTTTACAATCAAATTGTTTCCAAATAAATTATCTACATCCAAAAATTCTAAATAATATTTATAATAACATAAAAATATTCAGTATACAAAGTAAAATTTATGTCTGGCATCCAATCAAAGCACACTAGATATAAAGAAACAGGGGAATATGGCTTACAAAATAAGTAGACCAACTGAATTAACTCAAAAATGACAAAAATGAAACAGTACAGTCAATATAATTGCAATTTGTATGTAAACAAAGTGAAGAAGAGATATGGAAGATATAAAAAGGTCCAAAAGCAGTTTTCAAATATGTGAGATGAACAATACAATGGATGTGTTAATGGTGGAGTAGACATTCCAAAAGATTAGATAATGTGAATTGAGAAACAGAAACCATCCAAAAGAAAACACAGAGGGGTGAATAAATGAAAAATTTCAGTGAGATATGGGACAACTTCAAGCAGCCTAATATACTTGAAGAGAGGAGAGAGAAGATAAAATTAATATTTGATAATAATGACCTAAAGTGTTTCAAATTTGATGAAAACCATAAACCCACAGTTCGAAGAAGCCCAAAATACCAATGCATAGGAAACAAGAAAAATTTCACCAAGGCATAACAATCAAATTTCTCAAAATTACTGATAAAAAGAAAATTTTTAAATTTACTAGAAAAGCAAATTATGTTACATAGAGAAAAATAAAGTTTAAAGACAGTAGATTTTCCTTGGAACCAATGTAGAGAAGAAAGTGAAACAGCATCTTTAAAGTATTAAAATAAAAAAATAGTCAATGGTGAATTCTATACCTAGTTGATTTAACCAATATATACTCAAAGAAGTTTTCAAAAATAAGGGTAAAGTCTTTTGCAGACATAAAAAAGTAAATTGCAGTAGGAGCAATGTTAAAGAAAGCTGTTCAGATAGAAGAAAAAAATGATAGCACATGAAAATATGGGTATACAAAAAAAGAATAAAGAGCAAAAAAAATTTAAGTATATGGCCAAATATAATATGTGACTTATTTACATCATGATAAAAGATAAATAATTATTTAGACAAACTTGACAATGTAGTGTGGGATTTATTACATATATGATTATAAATAAATGACCAAAATAGCATAAAGGCCAAATGGAAAAAAAAATCAAGCATGATATTGCAATGTTCTTATATGTGAAATAGTATAATATAGTATAATCACCCTTTACAATCTACCCTAATAAATTAAACATATATACTATAATCCTTAAACTAACTGATAAATTTTAAAGAAAGAAACAATATACAAAATACATACAAAGGGATCATTAAAAATCCAAAGAAAAAGGCAGAAAATGCAGAAAAGAACACAGATGAGACAAATGAAAACAAAGAATGAGATGGCAGTTGGTAAACTATCATGTTAATAATCATACTAAGTGTAAATGCTGCAAACACCTAGATGACACGCAGTTTTCAGATTTCTTATGAAAGCAAAGCCCATCTATATGAGTAGTAACCACACACACACACACACACACACACACACACACACACAGAGAGAGAAATAAAGACCTATATTTGGTCTTAAAAGTAAAACACAAGAAAATGATATGCCTTGCTAACAGCAATCAAAATAAAGCTGAAGTGGCAATATTAATATTACATGCAATATTAGAGCAAAAAATGATACCAGAAGAAAATATTTTCATAATAATAAAAACAATCAAATCACCAACAGACATAACAATTCTAACACTTTTCACCTGATACTGAGCTTCAAATAATAAAACAAAAACTGAAATACTAGCCAAATCCAAAAATATAATCAGAGATTTCAATAACTGTTTATTTCAATAATTGAGAGAACAAGTAGACAGAAATCGAGCTAGGATTTAGATTTGAACAACTCTGTCAATGAACTTGATATCTAGAGAACAGTTGTAAAATACTTCACCCAACTACAGTAAAAATAAAATATTTTTCAAATATACATTCGTGATTTACCTAAAAATGTAATTTGTGATGATAAAATATGTCTAAATATACTTAAAAAGATTTGGGAACTAAAACTGTGTTATTTGACCAAAATAAAAGTAAATTTGAAATCAATAGCAGAAAAATCTTGGATACATTCCAAATATTTAGAAGCTAAATGACACACTTCTAAATAACCAATGATTCAAAGATAAAATTAAAAGATAAAGTATTTTGAATTGAATAAATATCAATAAATATCACAGCATATCAAAAAAAACCTGGGGACTCTTGATAGACTAGTGTTAGGGAAATTTAGATAGTACTAAATTTCTATACTAGAAAAGAAGAAATGTCTTCAATTAATGACTTCCACCTAAAGAGAGAAAACTATTTAACAAAAAATAAGTATATAACAAAAAATAATAACACAAATTGACAAAATAGAAAGAAAACAGACAAATTCATTAAAACTAAAAACTTACAGTTTGAGAAAATCAGAAAATAAGAAATAAGAAGAAAAGGAAAAAGCAACTCTAGTTGGGACTAATAAGGAAAAAAGAAGTTACAAATTTCCATATCAGTAAGGTGAGCGGGTGACATCACCAGGGTCTAGAGATATTCAAAGGATAACAAAGGAATATTATAAACAACTTTGTCGATAAATCCCACAATTCAGATGATATGAAAAGATTCCTAAAACACACTATCAAAACTGTTTTAAAAATAATGTTTTGAATTGATATGTTTATTAAGGAAATTGAATATGTAGTTAAGTAGCTTCCCACGAAGAAAATTCATACCCAAATGTCTTCACTGATTAATTCCATAAAATATATAAAAAATAAACAATACCAATTTTAAAATAATTTTTCCAAAAATCTGAAGAGGGAATACATACTGATTTATGACATGAGCCCAGCATTGCCCTGATACCAAAATCAGGAAAGGGTAGTGTAAGAAAACTACATTTTGCACTAACATCTCTAGTACAAAAGTCTGAACAAAATTTTGGCAAATATAATAAAACAATATGTAAAAATGATAATACAATCGTACCAAGTGTATTGGTGTAATGACCATTTGTTCAGGATTCATTTAACATTTAAAAATTAATTTATGTTATCTACTATGCAATGAACCACAAAAGAAAACTTACATGTGAATTTAATAAAGCCACAGAAGAAAATATTTGACAAAATCTTACATTCATTTCTGATAGAAATGTTCAGCAAACTAGAAATATAAGAAAATTTTGTCAACCTGATGAATGACATCTGTAGAAAACTCACAGCTAACCCTATAATTACTGGTGACAGTTAATACTTTTCCCTTGAGATCAAGAACAAAAAGAGCACTATCAAACAAATCATCAATCAAAAATAGCTAGCATGTCTGCTTCTACACTGAAACTTGTAGGCAGCGAGATCAAGCAAGAAAAAAAAAATTAAAGATACTCTCATTGGAAGAAATAAAACTCCCTTTATTCACAGAAATGATCATCTATGTAGACTATTAATTGGCATGTAGAAAAAAGTACTACCAGAAATGACTATGATTTTAACAATGCAGGATATAAGAGGAATACACATAAGTCAGATGTTATTCTATATATTAGCATTAAGTATTCAAAATTTGAAATTTAAAAAATATATGTTACAATAGCATAAACTGTATGAAATACCTAGGGATGAATCTATGAAAAGATGTATAACAACAGTACAGTGCAAACTACATAGCACTGTTAAGAGAAATTAAGTAGACCTAAATAAATGAAAAGACGTGATTTTTGAGTTGAAAAACTCAATATTATTAAGTGGTTAATTGTGCCCAAACTGACCTATTGAGTTAATGCAAATCTGATAAAAATAAATCTCAGCAAGACGTTTTGGTAGAAATTAATAAGCTGATGCTAAAATTAGTATGGAAATACAAAGGACTTGAGATTAACTAAAACAACTGAAATAGAAAAACAAATGTGTAAGGCTAGCATTACACATTCAAAGAATTTATTAAAGGTACAATAATCAAACAAATAGGTCAAAGAATAGAAGAGAGTCCAAAAATAGGGCCATACAAATAACTTTTGATGAAGATATTGAAAGCAAAATCTGAACTATAAGACATAATTTGCAGTGAAAACATAACATCAAATCTGAAGATCATAAGACATAAAAATATTAAGAAACACAAAGGAATTCAAAATCTCATAATAAAACAAGATTCACAAAAGACAATTGTAAAATAACCTCATTGGAAATACTGGTGTTCAAATGGCTCTGCCATTAGCGTGGCTTAGGCAGCCTGTGTTGTCATCAGGCTTACAGTCAGTGACCACGTCTAATGGACACTCCTCCGATTTTGTTCAGTTGCATTATTAGTCTTCACTAATATCGACCAAAACTCCTTGAGTAGCAATTGACATTAGGCAAAAGAAGAAAAATCTAGTGCTTTCAATTGCTTCTGGAAAACAAAGATACTTTCAGAGATGTGCAGTTTCAGAGTATACAGAAGAGAACAACTTGGTGAGACCTCTCATTGAAAAATAGTGAAAAATTGAATATTAAAAATATTAATAATAATTATGGCTGGGCATGGTGACTGACACCTGTAATCCCAGGCTTCAGGAGGCCAAGGTGGGAGAATCATTTGAGCTCAGGAGTTCGAGACCAGTATGAGCAATGCAGCGAAAACTCATCTCTACAAAAAAGTAGAAGAAGAGAAAAAGAGGAAGAGGAAGAGGAAGAAGAAAGATAAGGAGAAGGAAAAGGAAAAGGAGAAGGAGGAAGAAGAAGAGAAAGAGGAAGAAGGAGGAGGAGCAGGAAAAACAAAAAAGAAAAAAGAAAAATAATAATCATGGTAAATTGGAATAAGCTGAGCCTGCAATATGAACAGTGAGTGTCTGATGGTACTGAAAGATACAGGTAAGAAAGAGAATGAAAGATAAGCATACATATTTAAACTTCTAATATTTTTACAAAATTGCTATATAACAATATATGTCAATACAAATCAAATTGTTTAAATCTTACACTCACATCTAGGTTTCTTAACAATAACCTATTTAAAATTGCTATTTAGAAATTTAGATCAATATTTATCAACATGCCAAGTTGATAATGATATTTTATTGAATGAAAAAACAGTCTACACACAGCTTGTGAGGTATAATATCATGTATTTAATTATTAATTGGGATAAATAAATATTTTTAGAAACATTCTGGTGGGGTGTATGTGTGAACTAAAAAGTTGATAGGGTGGTGGTGGTAGGATTTTTCTCTTTCTTTATATTAATTTACACTCTAAATCACAAAATCTTATATATTATTAGAGATAAAAACAGGTAACCTAAGTAAAATTAACCGGTAAAACAAAAAATGAGAAATCCTGCCAAGAATTGCTGGTTCTAAAAAAACTAATTCAGTCACTTAATTTTTTCATAGTAATTACAAGTTCAGTTTATGGTGTAAAAATAAAGCACAAAATAGTTATATCACATAATAGTACTTTTTATATTATAGTCAAAATATACTAAAATTGTCCATAACTTTCAGTTTTATATCATGCATATTATTTGGAGTAACTGATCATCAGTCATCTCACAACTGATTTGTACTTCAAAAAACCAAAACAAAATCTTCTCTTCAAACAGCTCGAGTTAGTGGTTAAAGCTCACCCTACCTTCCTGTCACTCTCTTCTCTGTTTCTATGCCGTTGTTCTTCTATCCTCTCTTCTCTTTTAACATCTTCTGCCATCTTTGTCAGAAGTAACATCTCTTTTGTCTTCCATTCCTAGAAATCACAACATTACTGCACTTGGCGTTTGTTCACTTCACAATAATATCTTTGTATTTTGTCCCATCAAAAAGTATATTAAACAAGTCAGAGCCTAATAGAAATCAGGTTAAGCAAAATAAAAGTCATACATTGGATTTAGAATAGACTTTTCTTTCTTCATTCTTATTAGGAATGCAGATATGATTATTTTTTACTAAAGCTAAATTTAGAAAAAAATTCCTCTCCACAATAAAGGCTTTAAGAGAGTTCAATAGTGTCTAGTAACTTTCTAACTGTTCTTTTAGAGTAGAAACTGGCTCATATACATACTTCCTGGTATCCACCTCACAATTTCATGTAACAACTTGTGTATTACAGCTATAAAGAATATTTAATGGGAACAAATTATTTTGAGCTGAAATGACTTCAGGCAGTACAATGTACAGTTAAAATTATTTACAAGTGAAACAACTGTACACAATTTATCTCTTAATATTTTAAAGTTGTTATCTCTCACCTCTTCGATT